ACACCAACACTGGAAAGGACCTCTTTGCTTGTTTCCAGGACTGGGTAATGTTAACTGACTGGGCCTAACCTTTCACAGCATAGCACAGCACAGCATAACTAAGCAGCAGAAGTCTTAACTTTGTTAATGTACTTGTTGATTGATGTCTTGTTGATGTAATGTTTGCTTAGGTTGTGGTCAGTCATACAGTTAATTGAGTACTCGTATGTTCACACACATAGCAGTACGTCTCAGTTCTAGAACCTGCATGAAGCTGACCACCCCCCTCTAACCTGGTACCTTTAGATTACATGAGCTAGGCTAACAAAGAAACTCACACCTTCCCTCTCACACACCCTTGGTGGTCCAGCGGCCATTTTGAGTAGTTTCTTTGTTTACCGCCATCTTGTGTAGTCTTCTTTGTTCAGGTCATGTGGTCACAGTGACCACTTTGAATCGGCCATCTTGCCTTTGTTTGTGTCCCCACAAACACACACACAAACACACACACACACACACACACATACACACACCTGTATATACTAGATCAGACATTGTGTTTTACTCTGCTTCATTGTAAATAAATGCCTTTAAGTATAACTACTGGTGTGTTTAATGTTGCACAAGCGTGAATATTGCCAACCTCTACTTGGTAGAATTCCAATCCTTCAACTTTAACTTACTGTTGATTTGGTAATTTGGTTATAGTTAGTAAGCTAATGGTTAATCAGAGTTCCAGATTAATGGTAATAAATTGAGGCTAAAACCATATTGGCTATTTTGCCTATTAGTTTAGGCTGGTGCCCCGTGAACTTTAATTAATTTTAAAGTTATTATTTAGTATTAATATTTTTAATATTAATATTTTCTTGATTTATGATAGCCAATAAATTGATAAACAACCGAAATCCAACATATTTGGTATCCAGCTCATGAGGTAGAGCTCAGACCCAACATAAATAAAACATATATATGTGTATATGTGTATATACACACACATGAAGAGATATAGAGGCTACACTAAAATAAGTAAAATGTGCAAAACTTTAATAAATTGTTTGTTTACAAGTCAATAAAACTTAAGAGATCTCTCATTCTGAGAATTTACATACACACTAATATTCCACTGTTATTACGAAGTTGACAATATTCTGAATTTGATACAGTTCATGATTTCCAAATGTGGCTTTCAAGACATGAGATATGCCAATATCTAGACATGATGGACGTGATGATTTTGCCAGAATGAGACAAATATGTTTTAGCATAATGGCAGGACCCAGTGGCATTAGGCTGCACTACTCACAGGGCAAAGGGTCAACTGCCCTGGGGCCCAGAAGGTGCCAGGTTGTCTGTGGCTCAATTAAGACTATGTCAAGTGTCTGTGCAAAATCCACATCAGAAATCTGATGTGCTACATGTAAATCAGGGCCGGCCCTCCTGGAGTCCAGAAGAAGTTGGTAATGCACCTAAAACTGTTTGATAACTGCCAGAAACACCAGAAGAAGAGTAACGTCTGCACTTGAGAAAGTTAGTTACAATAGCCATTTAGCCAGGATTAGATAACTAACAGATACCCATAATCTAACACAAACCCATGAAGGAATCATATTCATGAACTATGAGCAAGACAAAAGTTTTTTCGTCTTCATGGGCTCAAACTCAGACCATTCTTTCATCCATACAGATCAGTGCTCTCTGATTGAACATTTTGTGGGTGTTCAGATAAAGACTAGTATTTGAAATGCTTGTATTTGATTGAATGTGTAAAAATCACTGGATTCTTTTTCCATCTTGCGCTACTGAGACAGACACAGATGCTTAACTTCAGTGTCATTTTAGTGTAACTTTAGCTGCCGTTATCACAAGAACAGAGGAGGCAGACCATAGACTTATTAAGAAATGTAATGTTGTTACTCTATGGGTGGAGTAAACGTTATGAGTGCATCCTAGAGAGATGGATGGATTTACTCTATTTCAACATATGGCTAGAATACACCTCAGATTTCAATCCATAGTGAATGCTTCTAGGATATATTTACACTTAAGAAAGATGGACCTTAGGCACATGAAATGACTAAGCGTAAGTGGATCTGTGAGGCATCACTTTGTGGTAATCTGAAAACCAAAAGGCCCTATTTTAGAGAAGGGCCCTGAGTGAAAATTTAGTTTTAATACCTTTACTATTTCAGTTAACGTTTGGGTGTACATGATGCATCTTCAGTAAATATGTGATTAAAAACCAGAGACTGGCTGGTTTTCCAGTCTACAAATACTTGTTGCTCTCTGGGCAAAATTAGTTGGAGGAATGTTTCTCAACAGGGACCCACACATAATTTTTGACCCATGGTGCTTTAGTGGATTAATTCAGCCCTGCAGTGATGGTACAGAGATGGTATGAAAAAAAAGAGCTACTGATTCATCTGAAGTGATTATAATTAACAGAATCTCTTGTGAGTGATTCAGTGTAGGACTCATGAGCTATCAATCACTCACTCTGAGTTCAAATGAACTCAGATATAACATCTATTGTTGCATTTCTAAATCTATTACCACACTTCCTACTCATTTCATACCATGTTTCTCTCTGACAATTTTACAGAAATCGATCCATTCATTTCTACAGGAGGGGACTGAGTAGTAATGATAAAAGAGAGGATTTGAAGATAAATTATGACTGAAGGTTACCAAAATGTTACATTATCCCTGTATATCATTACAGAACATCTTGATCCTCCCCAGCCTATTTTCCCTGTGCAGAAACATGAAATCAGCCTGACCACATATGTGGTAAAGTGCAGGCAGTAAAGTTTTGTCTTGATCCAGCCGGCTGCTGTTTGGCTTCTGTAAATCTGGAGGGCAGCAGGTCTGTCATTATGTGAGCAGGGCTTTGGGTGTGTCTGAGAGGCAGCCAGCCAGAAACCGGAAACCAGGCCACAGCAGGGGAAACATCTGTCGAACTGACTAAGTGTGTGATCACACCGCCCCCTACAGTATACAACCAGTACTACTACAAACTGCTTCCATACACATGCACCTTATACTGTAGTACTGTATGATCAATATGAAAAATAAGTCATAGTTTCAATACCTCCCATATTGAAAGGTCCATAGGACAGAATTTGGAGTAGTTTGGCTTTATCAGAGAAAACTGTTTAAGTGGAAAAACCAAAAACACCTTTTTACACATTTTTATTTTAAAACACAAGTTGGTGATGGGCTACCATATTAAATGAAACTTTTGCTTGTAAATTGTGGACCCAGTAATTGTTGGTCATGAAATAGCTCTAAAGCCAACTGCTCCTACAACTAGCTCTCTGCCAGTTGAATACACAAGACAGCTCTTGTAAGGCTTTTTTTCACAGCTAAGGAAACACAGCTACTGTTTATTACTTTACTAACTTGGGCTTATTTTCATGCCTCTGGTTATGGGTTCTATCAGTTATTACATTGTACGAACAAAAGAGATTACAGGCACCGGCCACAATACTACGTGTGGGTTCAACCGGGCAAAAACACTCATAGAATTTGACAGGATTTAAACAAACCATTTTCTTACCCAGATCATCTAAACTGCTTTATTTATTTACTTGTAGAACCACAAGTGAAAATTAAATGTGGTATCCCTAATTGCAAAGGGAAACCATGAGTTTCCACTACTAAGTTCTGTAGGTCAAAATTGAGTCAGTTATCATGTTTCCAGATCTCTGTTAATACTTTCCCCCTTAGAATCAAAACCCTAAGCTTCAAGTGTAAATCCAAAGTTGTTACAAATTTGTTTCCCTCTAACAAAGAAAGGCAAGTGGTAAGCTTCTGCCTCCAGTGTTGCTAAGTTAGGCTAAACACAACACTTTTGTGTTGTGTCTAAAGACTTACTGATACACACACAGTCACTTGGACTGTTGATTTTATATAGATAAATAGATGAATTAGAATGATATTGAAGTGAAGTGATATCTCTCCTTACATCTGATCTCAGAACAGCATTCTGTCTCATAAAGTATCTGATGCCTGTTTGCATTCGTCATGTGATTTACTGCCCTCTTGTGGTGGCAGCAGGGTGTTGTCTCTGAAGCTAGCTTCACTTCCAGCTGTTGTATCTATAGTTTCTGTCATCTTTGTGTGTGTGACCAAGTCTTGTTGATAAAGGCTGGATCTTATCAAGCAGAGAGCACAGAAGCCTTTTTGTGGGGTATGCACATTGATGATAATCCTGAGATCTTCTACCATTCTGAGATCAGTTTTGACATTGTAGCATTATACACATATGCAGACGTGTGGAAACTAAACCTGTGCATTAAGTGTGAAGAGGTAGCAGCAGCAAGTCACTGAGCAAATGATTTATCATGTCTGTGTGAGATCTGCTGTAAGTTTGAGGAGGAATATTGTTACAGGCGTAGAACAGCTGCTTTCAGGAATAGATCAGTACATACGTAGGTTGTGTGTGTAGAGTGAGACAGAGAGATAATAATAAATAATGAAAAAAAATATGAATAGGTAATGATAAAAATTATTTTAAAAAATAATTTAAAAAGCAATTAATACATTGCTTCATGTTCTTACATAAAGTGCCTTTAATTGCCTTTGCTCACAGTGAATGGTGAGGCGAGGATGTTCTATGACTGTGAAAGTGTTACCAATTAAGACTTGGAATGCATGGGTCCTTAATTATAGAAGTTAAAACCATCCTGTGAATTCCCCAGGCAGGGGTAATAGTCATTATAAACCACTCAATGTATTTCTTTATGTTTGTGCATAGTAGTTATGATGGATAAGTGATGGCATAGTATAATTTGGTTCATAGTAGTTGCTGTTGAACTATTCATTGCTATAGGTTATTCTCATCATTTTGCTTAATATATTTTTTTCTGTAATTTATGTATTAGTATTACCAATTGTTATATACATATGCTTTATAGTCCCTTTATTTTTCTATTTATTTCAGAACCACATTGCCATCCATCCTTACACACCTTTATTATATAGTAAGAATAAAGAGGCGACCAAGTGGACACTCAGCATTGAAGTCTTTATCATATTACTATCTTTTTATTGAATTTTCATTGTGATACCATTCAGTGTTGCTACATTCATTACATTGGTTTTCATGGACCATTTCCATCTTTGCCCTTTTCTTGTTGTAAGTCTTACACAAACCTGGCTAACATTGAAATTGCAACAAATGGCCTATTACAACGCCTTCATGTCAGAAGTGGGCCTGGTACGCCAGTAGATATCCATCATTGTACATGAAGATCTGTCTGTTGGTGGGGTTGTAGCTCAGACTGGCCACTCCTTTAGCAACTTTCTCCAGTGGCAGTGCTAGTGAGTTGTCCTCTTTACCTGTTGCTGTGTCGAAGGCGTAGAAAACTTCCTCACGGTATTCGTCCACATATCGAGTGGCATACAGCACGCCGCACACCATGAAAGCATTAGTTACTGCCTTCTTGAATAGCCTCGTCGCCCACGTCTGTGTCACATTGAGTTCATCACCTTCACTGTCCCAAACTAGCCGGCTCACCACTATATTACCATGGTTACCCATGGTGGCATATATGGCCCATAGTCCTGTCTCATCTGCCTCTATGTCCACATCACTATTGGCACGGCAATCATAGTAACAATAGGGGAACTTGTTGTTGAAACCCACTCCGATGCCTGGAAGTGTTACACGTTTAACGATGTTGGTGTTGAGGTCATAGTGGCAAACATCTGCAGAGCGGTAACAGTGATAGTACAGTGCTTCACCATATAGGACGGCGCTGGGACCCTCGATGGCGTCGGCGTGGGTGTATGATGAAGCAAAGGCATAGTCCTTCTTTTTGGCAGAGGCCATGAAGTCCTCGTAGGTTTGGTATATGCTCACAGAGTTTCCCCAGATGTTGCTGTTGAGCAGAGGCAGAACCCAGTAGCTGCTCATCTGTGCCAAGCTGTCCATCTGGGCCTGTTTGCCCCATGAACCAGAGATGTAGCTGTTACCGTGGGGATTGACCTTAGTCATGACAGGATCGCTGATGTTGGTGATCAGACCCTTGAGGCAGTACCTTTCCTGGCCTGGAAACAGAGAGAGATGAGAAGAGACTTAGGATGAGGTGATGTACAGTACAGACAGCTCTGCAGAGAGTCATTAAATAGCACAAAAAAATCACTACCGCTAATTGCTACCTTCACTTGACCTGCGCTCATACAGATCCTGATGCCTACCATGGGCCACATCCCACCCTGGCAACCACATTTTCATTCTGCTGCCCTATAGAAGGCGCTGTAGGTCTATTAAGACCTGCACTTCCAAAACACTGAACAAATTGTACCCATCAAAGAACTGAACTCTGTCAAATAAATCTATGAAATATTATCCTGGCCAAGTGCAATAATGTACAGATGAACCCTGACCACAACTAGTGCAATAGGCTATTTTATATGCATATTCTTACACTTAGACTTGTTTTATACTCTGTGTATCTTATTAATTACTAATGTGCCACATGTGTGTTTATTTTTATTTTATATTATTAATTGGCATACCACTGAGACACACTAAATTTCATTGTACAGCTGTGCAGTGACACATGAGGGCATTCTATTCGACTCTATTCTAGGCAGGTCTAGATAAATATTATTGTCTCTTTGTCTTTCTTCCCATTTTTGGTTTCTAAGATGTTCTAGCATCTTTATAAGAGAATTGTAACTGTAATGAAAACATGGACAAAGTGCTTTTCTTAACAGAAACACACAGCTAAGGTGGAAGTTCTTTTTCACCCTGATTACTGGCTACAGGTCATCAGCAAAAAGTCTTCAGAGCACTAGCTGCAGCACTTGCTGCTGCTCATTACGCTTGCTGCTGTGAGTGTACAGTAATAACTGATGGTGACTCAGATAGAGCATATCAACATTTTTAGTTATTAACTCTTCTCCTCTCTCCTCTGGATTTTGGCACAGTTGCACAGTCCAAGGACACTGTTTAGAAAGAAAAGTAAGTCTAAAGTGGAAATTATGCCCCTGTACCTGCTTCTTACACAGTGATGATTTTCAAGAAATTATATATGGAGGTTTTCTTGGTTCAAACTTGTAAGAAAGCCTGAATAAAAAATGCTAATGATTAAAAACATTTTTAAGAAGAGTTTGTTGCCCCTGCCTCCTTTGTAAACCAGTAATTTTTTTTATAATATATTGGGGAAATTACAAATCCAAGCCAGAAGATGTCAGAGACCTTACACATACAAGATATAAAGCTTTTCTAAGCATTTGGACCTTTTTGCAGAACGTTGTCATACCCATATTTACAGGTTTATTGCATTCATTATGTTTCTTACCGACTGCAGCTCTGCCATGTTGTGATTTCTTGTGACCCTTTTTTTTTTGTTTATTCTTGCGGCATGAAGATATTTCCTTAGATTCTCCCACCACAATTCCAATCATGCTTTTTTGACAGCACCCATTTTCATTTTCTTCCCTGTCAAGCATCTGTCCATATTATACTTGTTGTGTTATCTGAATACATTTTGCTGACCTGAATCTTGAAAGGCTGGCAGGCATCAAGCCTCAATTTTCTTCAGACCTTGATTTGAGAACCAGTAGCAATATTTTGAATGTTCATGTGATTAATGGACAGAGATACAGCCAAATCAACTTCAATTTCTTTATAGGGGAATTTATCTACACTGCAACACACACACACACACACACACACACACACACACACACACACACACACACGCACATACACACACCTGCACACACACACACCCGCAGGCATGCACGCACACACGCACACACACACACACACACACACACACACACGCACACACACACACACACACACACACACACACACACACACACACACACACTTACCTCTGAAGTCTTTGGGGATTGACTTGCAGGATTCAGCACTGTTTTTCAAGTAGCGCAGTTTCTCTTTAACAGTCTTCATGTTAATTGTGTCTGACGTTGTCATCCTGTCTACATCTCCACGCAATTTAACCACCTAACACAAATACACACACAACATTGCATACAGGCAGAGCACATATGTGCATATGTTCTCAGTTATGTTTCTTCATGTGTATTCTCTTAATGTAACAACAAAACATCAGTTGGGTATTTTATGTTTTAGCTTGATGAAATTACACCATAACGAAACATAATTATAAGGATTGTTATTCATACTATTATATTATTTTATTATTGCTGTTTGTGCTGTACCTCTTTGGAGAGTTTCCGTGTTTGGCCGTTGTTTAACTGGCTGTGGATGGCAGTTATGTCTGTCTCCAGCTGGCTGAGCTCTTGTCCTAACAGGTGCAAAGACAAGGCTGTGTATACGCCCTGGTCGTGCAGATACTGGTAGGGCTCTAGCCGAGCCGTCACATTCTCAACCAGAGCATAGATCTGAGGGAGACGTTGACTCGACAACTTCACCTGCAATGCACAGATTCCTGTGACCTTTCTTGACCAGTCAGTGTATTTATAGGATTCCACTTTCAAGTTTATATAGGTTCCTATAAGTTCTTTTCCTCGTTTTCATCGGCTACTTTTTCTTCACACAGTCACAAGACAGTTCCTGAAGAGTCTGAAATTCTGATAGTAGTCATAATAATTGCAATTACTGAATCCAAAATGTCACATTGGAATTTATTATTCTAACCAGCACAGTACTGTATATGTCAGTGTATCTATATAACCAATCAAGTCAGAGATGTAAAATGATGCTGGTTGACCTTGGTTCCTACCTGTTCCTGCAGGTGGTTCAAAGACCCTTCACAGGACAGAACTTGCTGATGCACGGCCTTGTACTTCTCAACAGGGAACGACCACATGCTGGAGTTTACCGCACACACACATGAGTCATTGTTCTTCCGACCCCTCAGACGCTGAGCCTGGCAATCATCCTGCAGTCACACATGTAGAAAATATATCAAATAAATCAAATAATATAAAATAACACCGATGCTGTATACAGATTTATAGATGGTAAAGGTTAGTAAAGAGACTGCAACAAAAAAGAAACCAAAAAAGTCTTAATCCAATGTGATGAAGTGCTATATCTTCCACTTTTATCATTAGTTTGTATTAGAAGGATATCGAGATTAACTCACGGCAAATGACAGCAGTAGTAGGAGCAGCAGCATGTTTAGAGCTGGAGAAATGAACAGTGGACTGACAATGACAGACTGTTAGTACTGGAATTACCAGCCATCCTCTTTCCTCTAATACACTTAATTACAGCACACCTTTTGCTGACACAGCCTTAAACCACTCACATGGATGTGAAACTCTAAAAATATGAAAACTTTACCGCAAGGGTTTTGCCATACCATCTACAGTGTTATTTCCTGTTTAAAGAAATGCTTTGCAACACCCAACGTTGGCAAGTAGGCGTCATAAAACACTGTAATGTCTGAATATGTGAGATGGCAGCAAACCTAAATTAAAAGTTAAATCAATTAAGAACACAGTCACAGGGCAGGGTACACCCTGGACATCGCCTGTCTATCACAGGGCTGAGATATAGAGACAAACAATCACTCGCACTCACATTCACACCTACAGGCAATTTAGAGTCACCAATCAATCTAATGTGCATGTCTTTGGACTGTGGGAAGAAGCCAGAATACCCGGAGAGAACCCACGCAGGCGGAGGGAGAACTTGCAAACTCCACACAGAAAGGCCCCAGGCCCAGATTCGAACCCAGAACCCTGTTGCTTAAATTCTTAACAGTTTAATGGCAGGAAACTTCAGCAGTCCATGATATTCTGTGAAAAGCCTCAGTAACTGCTGTAATTAATCTTGACATATTTCTCAGGAGTCTCTCTTTTCACAAAAGTGGTTCTTCAGTAGACCTCCATGTTGACACCAGATGTGACTGTTGGGCGATTTGATGCAAACCTCTGTTTTACATGTACAGTCGCAACCTTTTTGTCTCTTTGGAAGGAATATAATATCTTGTCTCTTGTTCAGTTAAATATGATTTGGTCTGTTTCAACTTCTTTCAGAGATAACTGGTTATTCTGCTTTCACCTGTGTCTGCACAGTGTCTGGTAGCTGTGATTGTAATAACCATCCAGTAGATGTTTACATTTTCCAGCTGGGACCAACATCATGTCAGGTCAAGAGTCACTGCATTGAAACTAACCAAATGAATTAAGTTTTTTCTTTTGTTTTTTTAATACCGCCAATGTGTGCTTACATTTCCTTTTTAGCATGTACTTGTGGTACATGTGCTGTTTGTTCAAGTAGACTTGCTTCTCCCCACTGTAAGAGCCCATATGTCTGTAAGTAATGCTTACCTTAAGGTGAAGCTCACTTAATTTGAAACAGTTGTTATTTTAAGTTGAAAACTTAAAAACAATCTTGCCACTAACTGTTGTTGAAGAAAATTCACTCAAGTCCTTAGTTTCAAGTTTGCTGTAGTGATGCAAGTTTATTGGTATCCCGGGATACGGTGAGCCAGCTGACACAGAGCGGGTCTGAGGCAGTAGACTGACTCAGAGTGTAGGGCAGGGGGACAGTTATACAGTTCAAGACTATGGGATGGACAACTGTATTTGCATATACCTGGGGTTAATGACATTTGGTCAGACAGGAAGGAAATTAGAAACAAAAGGTAACGTTCTCTAGAGGTCTTGCAGTGTAACACCTAGGTTCAAGTTATCAAGGGGGTAGCAAGGCGTCTTAGGCTGGATTGGCATATCCACAGATAGGGCAGGAAGGGCACTTAGACTGAATCAACATATCTATAGGTAAGTTGTTGTTAAGACGATAAAGCGTTGGTGATGTAAGAGGGAAGAAGGGGTGTTCTCCTTGATGAAAGGATCAAGGGGCCAATTCAGTAGGGTTATAGAGTTGTTCGTAGGTGTCAGCAAGTCTACACTGAATAGACTGAAAACTATGTATATTCTTCCTCACTGTGTTAGCCTGGCTATGGCATTTTCAATGTTAAGTTAGCATTAAGCTAATCAATCGTTAGCTAACCATTAGTTGATCTGTGAATATTATAGTACATATTGATGCGTACAGTGTTATGCATGAACTTCTCCATAGACACGGCCCAGCTTGGCTGGTGCTACTGTTACAGGCAGTACAGACGCATCTAGTACAGCTGAAGCCAATTTGTTTGAGCATTTGAAGCAGTTTTATGAACAAACAAGCAAAGACATAGAAGGATTAAATTTGCATATGGATTTTAAATGTAACTCATGTCTGTGATTCTTCAGTGGTGTACAATAATTAATTTAGTTGAAAGTGGCAATGTTTGGGGCTGGTGATGGATGGTAGAAGGAGGTTCTATTGAAAAAGAATATTGGCCTTTATTTATTTGAAAAAAACGGAACAAATGAACGTGAACTAGTTCATTTTCATCTGTATGAAGTGAACTTTGAGCTAGTCTTTTAAAGTGTGAACTTGCACAACACTGAATGCGTATTTATGTTGCGTATGCCAGATAATAACTCAGTGTTCGTTAAGAGTGTTAATGAGAAAATAAGAGTAAACACATACAAATAGTAACTTTTTCTTGAGTTCTGTATTTCAGTTTCACAGTGTGTCTGAAAGTAAACATTGTAAACCTACTCGCTGTCCCCTGGATGTTTATTGAGGAACCTGTTAACTATCTGCCAAGCTAATCACACCTACATCCTAGTAAGGGTAGAATAGTGAAAAGACTACCAGAACCTACATCTGAAACAGTGCTCCAGCCAGCAATGGACAACAAGGAGGCAACTGAAAACTACATGGGCAAAGGTAATGTGGAGTTAAGTGAGATCAGCAACTGAATTTTGCAGACAACACACATTCCCACAGAAGATAAATGCCACCCTGCATTATTTTCATGCTCAAAGCTCATCCAGGAACACCCATCTCAAGCAAGAGTATGCGCACAGTTTAAGTCCAACCAAAGTCACCTTCAGCCATGTACATCAGTCATACAATACAATGCCATTCAGTAACAACTATCAACCTCCTCAGCCACATTCTGATGCTGCTCCCAGAGCCAACGAGTCTGGTTCATCAACTGCAACAGATTTTTCCAAGTATTTAATACGTTGTGAAATGTTGAGCTCCAGGCTATCAAAGTTTGATGACCATCCAGAAAATTATTGGGCCTGGAAGGCATCCCAGCATCTCTTCACAGTTCTACAGAGGGCTTAAATCTGACACCAAGGGAAGAGCTTGATTCTGTGCAAATGGCTTAGGCCAAAATCCTCCGAACATGCAAAGAGAATAAGGGCAGTCCACATCCATAATGCAGTAGTGGGTGTGAGCATGGTATGGGAAAGGGTTGAAGACTGCTATGGACCACCAGAGGCAATAGAAAACATACTCCTTAAGAAGGTTGATGATTTTCCAAAAATCACAGAGAAAATCAACAGTTGAGAGATGTATTTCTATCTGGCCTTAACTACCTGGACACATCTCATGGCATTATTTCAATTGTTCTAAAGCTGCCATTATCCCTGCATGACAAGTAGGTCTCTCTAGCATCTCGCTACAAGGAAAATCACCGCATATCTTACCCCCTTTTCTCCTTCATTGCATAGTTTGTTTGTGAACAAGCCAAGACACTCAATGACCCAAGCTTTGCTCCACTCACAGGTAGTTAAACACAACATGATAACACCAGTTTCTGTCAAAAAATGGACTCGAACAGAAGCCATGACAACCCCACAGAAAAAAGGGTGTTCGACCCAGACAAGCAATGCCCATTGCACAACAAACCACACCCCCTGAGAAAATGCCATAGTTTCAGGAGTAAGTCTTTGGATGAGAGGAAAGCTTACTTTAAAGATAAAAACATTTGCTATAGGCGCTGTGCATCATCCAACCATCTAGCTAAAAACTGTGAAAGAAATGTGCAATGTAGAGAGTGCAATAGTGCACTAGATCCAGTGCCGGCACCATGGATAGCTGGGGCATCTGTAACCACAAGAGATCAAGGCAAGGAGCAAAGAGAAGGCGTTCCTCTAGCCATCATGTCAAAATGCAATGACATTTGTGGGACTTCATTCAGGTCAAGGTCATGCTCAAAAATCTGTCTCGTTAGAGTTTATCCAGCAAGGGAGAGCGGTCAAAACCTATGCTGTCCTTGACAAGCAGAGCAACAAATTCCAGGAAAGACATTATACCCACCTCAAGTGTGTAGTGGACAGGATCCCAGCTCTAAATCCCTCTGCAGCCATCCTTGTCTTCTTTGGCTGAGACATACCATGGGCACACAAAGTTAGAGAGCCCCATATGGCCAGCGACTGGACCTGGGCTGGGTGATTGTGGGAGAGGTCTGCCTCGGAAGAGCCCATAAGCCAGACTGCGTCAATGTTTACCGAATTAATGTGCTAAGTAATGGCCGTTCATCTCTGTTTGACCCTTGCACTAATAGCCTCCACATCAAAGAGAAGTTTGATGCTCCAGAGCTTCTTCATCACTTTCCAAAGGCTAACACAAATGACTCATTGGATGAAACAGTCTTGATAAAGGAGTTCCAGCGCACACCTGTATTTTCTGTATTACAGTTTCACAGTGTTTCTAAAAGTAAATATCGTAAACCTACCTGCTGTCTCCTGGATTTTTATTTAGGAACCTGTTAGCTATCTGCCAAGCTAGAAATCATACCTACATCCTATTAAGGGCAAAATATTACATGTATAACACAACACGCAGAACAAAACATTCAATTTAAATGGGTGATTTCCTCAGTGACTATTTTGGGACAAAGTTGTCACTTTCTGTTCCTGAATCCTGTAACCATAAAGTCATAACAGACCAAAGGCACATATTAGTCAATGCTTTCCTTCCTCATTTGATTTCCTTAAAATTTGTTTCAACATTTATTTCTGATGATGCATTTGGTTTTCAGATGATCAGTAATGTATTTTTCATCATTTTCCAACCACTGTAAACTGTACACACCTTCTCATTTTATGATACATAAAACTGATGCGCCAGATCATTCTTGTTGTTAAGTCTATCTAATCTTTCTAAAGATTTTACATATCAGCATATAAAACATAAACTATGAAGATAAACTACCCTCAGATATATAAAGTAACTCAGCTGTAACATACTTAAACACTGCTTGGATCAAGGTTTTTCCTGGCCGAAAAGTAGGCAATTTACTAAGTCGTATGACCGGGATGGGGGGAAAATTATATTTTCATTACCTCTCCAGTCACTCCGGGTCAAAGTCAGTCACTCTATG